CACGACAAGGTATAGGATGGTCCTTGGGCAACGCGAGGTAAAGCGTTGTATCATCACTAGGGCTCATAGTGGTGGTTGTCGGTTAAAGAATCTCCCACAAAACTTATATTACTTTTATATAAGTAAAGTTGAGTTTGTTATTGTTTTATCATTAACGAGCTAAGTTGTTTATACTGTTTTTACAAGCCTTATATATTACATGTGTCTTTTTGCCTTATATATTGAGTTCAGTTATTCATGAGTCATATAGAGCCAAGGTAAGTGTTCTTTTTCTACTCTTTTCAAGCTTAAGTTGTGGTTTAGCTTTTCAACTCGCATACTCGTACATTCCATGTACTGATGCCAGTTGGCCTGCATCTTATTATGATGCAGACGCAGGTACCCAGGATCAGCATCCAGTACGCCGTTGATCCAGCTGAGCACTCCAGAGTCAGTGGTGAGCCTCCTTGCATTCCGGAGGACTCAATTATTTTGTGATCTTAGTTTTGTTTTATTAGGGTGTTGCGGGGTTTGTCCCAACATCCATCTCAATATTTTAGAGGCTTCATAGACAGTTTGTCAGTTAGTTTTGAGTCTCTCATCTATGTATATATGTAAATATTCTATTTTGAGATTCGAGTTGCCTTTGTGGCCAGATTTTATAAGTTAAGTTGTTTTGTAACCTTGCATTTGCATTGAGTTATTCTGTTGGGTTAGGTTTCCGCTGACTTAAGAAAGCCAGGCCAAGGGTTCGCTTGGAGCTAGAAATGGTCTCCGGGTGCCGATCCCGTTCAGGGTGTAAGCTCGGGGCGTGACAGATTAAATCAAATAACAATTTCTAAATAAACTGAAGGAGTATTACTCTATTGCATAAAATATGTGCATGTCATTTTGTTAACTAAATCAATCCTAACTGTAGTCATTTTCAGTAAGTACTTGATTGGGGACAAGCTTTCTGGATAGCATCTCTTAAAAAATAGAGTGCTTCCCTAAATCTATTGCAGTGTATAGAGCCAACAATCATAGCAGTCCAAGAAATGAGATTCTTGTAAGGCATGTCTTCAAAAACTTTCAAGGCATTATCCCAAAATCCACATTTAGCATACATATCAACACGAACACTACCAATGTAAACATCCCTAGAAACCCCCCCTGGCTCGACATAGAAACCATGAAGATACTTCCCAAACCAAACACATCTTAACGTTCCAGCATGAGAAAGAGCTGCTACAACAACCACTTCATCTACCTTAACTTGTGCTCGTCTCATCTCCAAGAAAAGTTTCAAAGCTCTAATTGGTAGAGCGTTCCGGGCATACCCATCAATAAAAGCAGTATAAGAAAGCACATCCTTATGCGTAATATCAAACACTTGGCGTGCAAGGTGAACATACCCACTGCTAGCAAAACTAGAAACCAAAGAATTCTGCACAAATTGGTCAGAAATGTATCCAAACTTAGAATATTTGTGGGAAAATGAGATGTGGATTTTCATTGTTGGCTCTAAGAAGCAAAGGAAAAGTATGTTTATTAGGAAAAACCTCATGTTGGCGCATTTGAATGTAGAAAATATCTATCTACAGCAGCTGTAAAACTAATTGGTGCAACAGTTAAGATTTTTGTGGCCCTTTTTTGTAGGAAATTATTGTACATAATATGGTGGTAGCAGCTGCAACACTAACTACTGCAAAAGTTGAAACTTATAATGCCTCACATGGTCACTCAACTTATAAAAACTTTTATCTCAAAAAGGACATGGATCTAAAAGAGGATCAATGAATAGCAGGGTGTCAGAAACAAAATTGGGTTCAATCTAATGGTTGACTCATTGAGATTAACCAAATAGCTTAGAAAATACTCATCAAATTGATAAAGTAAAAATCGAGAGCTAAGATGGCTACAAAAAGTATTCTATTTTTCAAAGAATAATGAAACTGATGGTCCAACAGATCTTGCTGCAACTATACCTCTCTACTACATACATAACTCCATTTCAAACCAACTTGCAAAATTTAAAATGTATCAAAGAATCACTCGAATCCGATCAGAAGAATTGTTCATTACTACTTAATTAAAACACCACTGTAAGTCTGAGAGAAGTAATTTTGGAACTACAAATGAATTCAGTCATTGTCTTTCGAAAACAATCTCTATGATTTGCCTTCACAAAGTATAGAAATAAGGTCCAAGTACATTGGCCTCACTTGTGGAATTACACTTATTATATTATTATTGTTGTTACAAGTTAATTTAGTAATCCCCAACTCAAAAAGTAGAAAACGATGGCCAAACATTTATTAGCACAAAATGAAACAAAAATAAAAGAGAGTACTGACTATCAAGACCACCAAGCTTAGTGACAGCATCAACAAATTGTTGATGTAATTCAGCAGTCCACATCAATCTTGGCTTTGGGTCTCTTGTCATCACCACCCCATCGTTCTCATACAAATAACTTCCCCCTCTTCCCACCCCATCAATTGCATTATACATACTATTCCTACAAACACTGAATTCAATCGATGACTACTAACTAAAGTCATCATATGAGGCAGTCGATGACTACACAAGTTAGAAATATATTGTCATAAAATAGCCTGAGTTTCCAGTCAGCTTAATGTTGCTATGACGATTGTCCAGTAAAACATCAAGAAGTACTTATACTGTGATGAGTAAACTATAATCACAAACTAAAATTTACAATGAACAAAACATAGTCAAAAAGTTAAAGTTGAGAGAGGAAGAAGAGCTTACATGTTCTAAATGAGTTTGTTATCCTCACTTGAAAATCCTTAAATAGTCAAAAGTGCCTTGTTCTCTGTAAAATTTTATCAGGAGTTAGTGTGCTGAAAAAATATAGCATTACATTATACATATGCTAAACAGCAGGGAAGTCTAAATGTATTCACGAAACAAGGAATTACTATAGATGCACCACTGTACAAAGCCAAATACATGACTACGACTTTGAGGTCCAAAGCATTTCTCAACAATTTCTATGCTAGAAAGTGATGGTTCAGACTCCACCAATTCTTGAATTTGAGCCTACAAAGTGTATAGAGGAGATTTTTTTAGAGGAGATTTTTTTTTTA